AGTTAGCATAAATCAGTTAAATGACAAAAAATTAGGTGTCTATTTACTTGTGACCACTCAGTGTATATATTATAATTAGACCATTAGCAATTTATTATGTTTGGCTTAAATTTGTAGGCTGATGAGCAATTAGATGCACACTTAATTTTATGTAAGGTTATTTTATTTTTGTTTTAAAATATGAATCAATTCTTTAATTTAATTAATTCAACATAATTTGTATTGATTTGTTGTTTATTTAAAATCAAAATTAATTCAGCATCTTTGTTTTCGGGACCACTTTATGGCAGCCCCCCCAGAAAAAGCTTCATGGCCCCCAGGGAGGCTGTGGCTTCCACTTTGGGAAACAGTGTTTTAGATAGTCTGGCAGCTTGTCCTTCCTTATCAGTGAGTCTCCTGTTGCTGGGAGAGTTCTCTTAAAGAAGATGATTATTGAGTCTACTGGTGGCTCCATCATTGATGACTTTCTGGAAGTAGTCCCAGTAGGAACCCTGGGACCCTCAGCAGGTTGAGTATCTTCTTCAGAATTACTCAGTTGGCCATCCTCTCACTGACATACTTCAAAGATGATCAAGGTAGATAGCACGGATTGTTTATTCCTCTGGATTCTGTAGTTCATATCACTGATTCTTTTTAGTACATTGTATGTCACTTTTGAGCATCTACTTTAAAGTTTGTTCTCTTGCAATGAGAACTTTTCAGCCATACCATGTCACCTTGATGAAATTCAGGTTTATCAGCATTAATAGCAACCTTTCAAGCTGAATTAAGTCTTCTCTGGGTAAAGTCGTGTACAACATTTTTACTCTTCATATCCACAACAGCCCTTCCAACTACCAATTCCTTGGACATGCTGGAGTATTTGGTTCCACTATGCCTTAATTGCCAGATGAAATATTATTGCTAAAAGCTCTTCAACTGGGTATTTCACTTCTTGGTGGTTCAGTGGCCACTAACCCTGTTTCCACAGCAAGTTCAATCTTTAGTGTATTAATTGTCATGTAGTATACTGGAATTTCCTGGCCATACTTTGAAGCTATTTGAAGTTAGCTTAACCCCACATCCATTTCTTTGCATAAAGCCAGTTCCCAAAATGCACTCCTCTTCAATGTCAGTTACCCACACATGAGATACAGAGAAGTTTTCTGTAGTAAGGGTCTTCCAATTTCTCTTTTGCTGGAATCTTGTATCCATCTGCTGTTTGCACCAGTCCTTCTTTTTTCATTTCTAGAGGCAGTTTTTGCCTTTCATTAAACGAACTGGGTGGAGAACAACTATAGAACTGGAGTCAATCAGCAAACTGTAAGGTTTTCCATCAGTAAACCCATGAACTCTTGGATGATAATGAACTTCTTTTTTGATTTGGGGTATTCCTAGCCAAACTTTGCTCAATAAATCCAGCTGATGTGTGGTTAGATCCCTGTGTTCAGAGTATTATCTCTTAGGTATCTTAACATTTTATGATTCCTCACAGTTTTAGCTGTAATAGCCAGTTTTCCCATATCTATAACAATTCTCTCCTTCTGGTGTCTTGTGGGAGAAGTTTTTATTCCCTAAAATCATTTTAGTTCTTATAGACTGCCATCAGAGGGAGTTGATGTTTCAGTATTGCTAGATCTGATGATAGTGGCTTTAGCTAAATACTGGAACTGGATTCAATAATGACATGGCTGAAGCAGTTCCAGGAAGGTTCTTTAGTAAGAGGTGGTGTGGTAATAGTGGTAATAGGTGTAGATGAAAAACATTCTCTTAATCCATGTTTGATATTAGATGGTGTCTACCTAGGGATTTCTTTGGCCAATGCTGAAAGAATTGTCACTAGTTTACTCTTCGGATTTAATAATTCATTTTCCAGATGCTTTATTCTGTGAATGATCTGTTTTATTACATCATTGATATCTTCATTTATGTCTCTTTTTGTACTTTGCTTTTTACCTCATTATTGGCTTTCTAAATTTCTTATTGAAATCCTTCTGTACATCCCCTATATTTTAATAGATCTTGTATTAAATCAGGGTTATTTTTCATTATTCTTTAAAAAGTCCATTTCATTTTCTTTTCATGACTCCTCTCTTAACTTTCTGTCATGTTCTATTCTCCGTCTCTCTTTTTCTTCATATTTTATTTTTCTCTCTCTCTTCATGGTCTTTAAACTTCCTGTCTTGTTCCATAAGATCCTGTCTTAATAAATTTGTCTCAAGCAACTCCTTTGCTCTCACTGTTTGACCTCTGGGTTGTCATCATCAACAGTTGAAATTCAAGTATATTCAAAGTTTTATTTAACTTTCCCCAAAATAATTTCACTTTTGACACTAGTATTGTAATATTATTCTTTCATTGGCAGATTCTTTTAAATTACCAGGGGAAAATAAGTTGAAGTCCACATAATGATAAGGAATAAATAAACCAATTTCTTAAAATTTTTACAAGCTTGTACACTGTGGTAACTTATAGATCGTGTACTAACTAACATAAATATAGACTTGTACAAATTCACAAGTGATCAACGAAGTAACTGAAAACAAAACACAAGCTCACTACTGACTGAAACATAAATACACTCTGACTTATTCACTGTAATGAATAGAAACAACTCTGTTTGAATGCTTCACTACCCCTCGTATTTATTATCTATTCCTAGAATATACTAGAAAATCTGATGTCAAAGTTTTTAAACTTTCTAGGCCTACACTATTAATTGTTTTTTTCTTAATATAATATGCCTTTCAGTTAACATCTAAGTTACATCAAAAAATTATAGCTTATAAAAATATGTATATAGAATATAAGTACACTAAAATGTTATAAAAATGAATGATGTATGATCAGTCTCAAGTTTTTGTTGCCAGTTTTGTGTCAGCTGTAAATTGACAAACCAGATCATTAGGCAAAATGCTTACACATGCATACTATTTAAGAACAACAAGGGATCTGATGGTCCATCTCAACTGTAACATTCATTATACTAAAATAAAAGTTACCAGTTCTTACATCAAGATGCTTGTAAAAATCTTTGTTGTTTATTTTACTCTATCTGCCACAAGGCCAGTTTACAATGTTTTTTTAGCTTTTAAAAAGTCAAATCAACATATAGGGGGGTTCTGTAATCCAAAAATGTAGACTTGCCATATTATATCAAAGTTAATGAGGTAATGTAATTTTCTAAGGACTTATTAGTTTTTATTGCCAATTTTTTACTGCATTGTGTAAAAACTAAAGTTTTTAAAGGTTTTCTATATTATTTCATTCTAGATTTGGTGTAAATCGTTGTAAAAAAGGGTTACTGATGAGGAGTGGAATTCTCAAATTGTAGATTGAACTGGACCTCCCTTGAACTTAGACTTCAAAATTAAACAATTTTTGGAATATTAAGTTTATTTATTATGATTGATTGGTGTAAATAATCAACTAATCGAAATAATGCCATAATATTTGCTGGTGAGCACAAAGTTACATGATGTCATCTTTTCTCTGCCTATTGTTGGTATTGACACCTAACTTTTAGCATTATATTATAAGTTGATGTGTGTGTGTGTGTTGTTTTTTTGTCATCTTATGAGAATTGCGGATTAGCTGAACGTTATCTATGGATAAACCCAACAATTAGTTATCAAATTTGACTAATCGTCCAGCTCTAGTTAGCAGTCACCATATTCAACTTTTTTTTTTATGTATAGTCCTTTATACACACATAATCTACATTAATAAAACTGTAAGTTGCTACTTTTTAAGATGAATAAATTATGTATTGTTGAAATTTAGTTTTTATTTTTAGAAATGTCTAAATAAATTTGCTGAATGGCTGTTCATCCAAACACACTATGCTTCTCCCCCCCACCCCCAACAAGAGTCATATTGATAAAAGTGCTGGTCTTTGTTTTGTTTCTTATATAGAAGCTGTTCTCTTTATTGCAATGTATTTTCTGTTGTAAGTTTTACTTTCAACATACATAAAAGTTAAGCCACCTAAAACATTTTTAATTGATTAAGTAATAGATTTTGTAATTTTATTTCAGGAACTTGTTTATTAAAAGTGGTATGTAGTCAAAATGTGTAAAACTATTTGTACTAGATGATGTTTAGGGAAAAACTACTTCTTGAAGGGGAAAAAGTGGGTGGAAAGTTTCCTTATTATTTTTAAGTAGCTCAAACTATTGGTAGTTGATTAAATGAACAATTTTCTTTTTGTCTTTGTAGTTCCAGTCTGATGTGACCCATCTTTCATCTCCAAACAGTGAACAATCAAGATCAAGAATGGCATCTCCTACTCCATCTTTACCAGATTCCACTGCTTTCAGCTCTACATCTGTAAGCACTCTTGGAGATCAAAGTCTTGAAGATAGCATTTCCACAAAGTGCTTTCTTTGCCAAGATACATATACCATACCAAAAGTGCTCCCATGCTTTCATACCTTTTGTCAGCCATGTCTTGAGAAAATTCAGGAGTCCCCTGATAATATCAAGTGTCCTCAGTGTCATCAAGAGTGTATTTTAACAGGTCAGGGCATTGGAGGATTGTTGTCAGACTATGCTATTAGTAACATACTGGAATCTACTGCTTTGGAAGGAAATTCCCCTTGTTGCACAGGCTGTAAAAGTAAAGAGTCAAATGCAGTAGCCCATTGTTTTGATTGTGCCAATTTTCTTTGTTCCAACTGTGTAATGGCTCATCAGTTCATGCATTGCTTTGAGGGTCATCGGGTTCTTACATTAAGTGAGTTACAAAACAACAAAGATGATATAAAGATGGAAAAACCCATAAATTGTACGAGACACAAAAATGAACTGTTAAAGTATTTCTGCCAAACATGCAACATTCCAATTTGTAAAGAATGTTCAGTTTTGGATCATCCAAAAGGTTTGCATGATTTTGAGTACTTGAAGGATGTTGCTTCACAACAGGTAGAGACTATTAATCATATGATTGAAAATATTAGAGTCAAAGTGACTGATCTACGAAACGTTCTAAAGACAATTGAACATTCAACCAGCCGTCTCCAGATGCAGTATCAGAGAGCAGAAAACGAAATTAAGGAAACTTTCCAATTTTATTGCTCAATGTTGGAAGAAAAAAAAGAAGAACTCTTGAAGGAAGTAGACGGTGTATACAATACCAGAATGATGTCTCTGAGTATACTGGGACAAGAAATTCAAAGGAATATTGAAAAGATTATTCAATTAATGGAGTTTGTGGATCGTATTATGAAGTTTTCAAGCAATACTGAAATACTCATTTTCAAGCAACTGCTTGATTCAAAGTTCCAGGGTGTGCTTACTTACAATCCAGATATTGATGTTCAAGATGGAGACCTAGAGTTTGTTTCAAATTTTCAGGCAATTCAGATAGGTGTACGTAACACTTTTGGATACATTCGTCAAAGTTCAGAGATGACACTTTCATCTAAGCCTCAGGCGATTGCCAGACCAAATGGTGTTATAGGCTCAGAAAGAACATATCACAATGGACATAGTACATATGAGTCTAATATTCTTTCAAAGAGATTCAGTTCTGCTAACAGTTTGAGCCCTTTCTTGACCAATTTGGGTGACCTTAACCCTTATGAAAAATGGTCAAGTGCACCAAATGACAACTTGCAAAATGGTTCAGATACATATTCTCTTTCTTCTGACCAAGTAACTGATCTCTCCTCAAAGTTGCTTTCTTCCACCATCTACCCCCTGAAGTCCCAAATTAAACGTCAAAAGATGATATATCACTGCAAGTTTGGGGAATTTGGTGTTATGGAAGGTCAGTTTACTGAACCAAGTGGTGTGGCAGTAAATGCACAGTGTGACATCATAGTTGCAGATACAAATAATCATCGTATTCAAATTTTTGATATAGAAGGGCGTTTTAAATTCCAGTTTGGAGAATGTGGAAAGAGGGATGGACAGTTGCTCTACCCAAATCGTGTTGCAGTTGTTAAAACTTCTGGTGATATAATAGTTACAGAAAGGAGTCCCACTCATCAAATCCAAATATACAATCAGTATGGTCAATTTGTTCGCAAGTTTGGAGCTAATATCCTTCAGCATCCAAGAGGAGTGACAGTGGACAGCAAAGGACGTATAATTGTTGTTGAATGCAAAGTAATGCGTGTAATAATCTTTGACCAACTAGGAAATGTCCTTCAAAAGTTTGGATGCTCTAAACACTTGGAGTTTCCTAATGGAGTGGTGGTCAATGATAAACAAGAAATCTTTATCAGTGACAATAGAGCCCACTGTGTGAAAGTGTTTAACTATGATGGAGTGTTTCTGCGGCAGATTGGAGGAGAAGGGTTAACCAACTACCCCATTGGTGTTTGCATCAACCAAAATGATGAAATCCTGGTGGCCGACAATCACAACAATTTCAACATCACAATTTTTACTCAAGATGGTCAGCTGGTGAATGCTCTTGAAAGTAAAGTGAAGCATGCCCAATGTTTTGATGTGGCTCTTGTAGAGAATGGCTCTGTGGTTTTAGCCAGCAAGGACTATCGTATTTATGTCTATCGCTACATGCAAATTCCAGGAATAGGAATTTAAGCAAAATGCTGTTGCCTTCATATTTAAAAGGCTGATGATATTTTTTCTGATCTCCTTCAGTTGTTCTGGGTATCAAGAATTTGAAGAATTATCAAGAGTTTGGTATATTTTTTTTTATTCCAACAGAGATAGGTGACACTTCGAGTTTGAATAGGTTCTGTTCAAACAAATTAACCCAACCAGTAGTTGGCATCTAACATATCTGAACAGGGCAGCTCCAGAGGGAAAGATATTCTTGCATTTAAATTAGTTCAGAAAGTCTCTGTCAGAGCCTTGATTTTATCACTTGAATGTTTGTTTTTGTGGTTATTTACAACAGATGAATTTAAAAGGCAGAGTGAAAATCACTGAACAGCTATGTGTAACTTATGTTTTCTCTAATGTTTATACATTTACAACAGATACACACAGATTGCCTTTGGAGGCTGTTTGGATGGCCATACCTAGCCTGTCCATACTAGGCTATGAAATTATCGTATATGGTTTACCAGTCCTAGTCATCGTCCACAGCTTCCTTGAAGTATTGGTTTTTTCTTAGACACGTTAAAATAGTTTTCGATAATGTTACCTTTATCTCACAGTTTATTATTTATTGTGAAGTAACCATCAACATAATATGCCAAAGATGTGAGAACACTAACTACTGTGATCTTTAAAACAGTGGGGCCACTTGTTGAGAAACCAAAATTAATTTTAAATATTATTGAATTATGACTGCAGTGACACAGCCCAGAGTTTTATGTGTGTGTGTGTGTGGAGTGCAGCTAATGCAAATGTACTTTTCCAGTTATGTTTTATATGTCTACTCTCCAAACTTAATGGGTTTTTTCTTATAATTTTTGTTTAGCTATTGTGCCAATTTGTTATGTAAAATCTTAACCTAATTTATTCAACTGTGAAGTCTGTTTATTGAAGTTATTCAGATGAAGAATAAAGTAAGTTTATAAAAAAATATCTATTAAAGAACTCAGAATTCACTTTTACCTAGTCAGTTTTGAACCTTAAATGTTAACTATGAATAAGATTTTGTTCAAATGGAAAAGTTTAAAATAATAAATATGGCAGGGAGAAGTTGCAAGCTTCCAGTTATAAACTTAATTTGAAACTTGTTTTTATTTTAAGTTTTTCTTTTTTTAGGTGTTCTGTAGTCAAATACAGATCTGCAAGTTTGATTTTGTTAGGAGTTTGAGTAATCATGTTAAGTAGGTGTGATTTGGTTTTTTTTATACATGTTATTTTAGAGCCATAATATTTTGGCCTTGTTCAGTTAAGTATCATGTGAATTAAAGAGTATAGTATAACATCAATTAATTATTTTGCTGCTTCACGTCAAGGAATGTTTGAGTGATGTATAGCAGCAATAATTCTAACTAAGCATGCTAATTGTGAAGTTTTTTTCTGAGTGAAAAAAAATTTATCAGCATAATGAGAAAAATGTTTCATGCTCAGATTGTTGAATATGTTCAGAATTACACAACACGTACAGTTATATTTTTTATGGCTTTTGTGAATTGTAATTTATCTCATGAAATTCCACATTGTGTGTTGTTGATGTTTATTTGTCTGCAAAATAATTTTTTTTTTTTAATGTAGCTACCTCGTCCAAGCTGCAATAGTTGGACGCAATCATTTCATTCCTGGAATATCTAGTTCTTTGAAAAAATTTGGAATATGTTGTTTATAAGGTACGGTGTACTTTGATGAATGCAACCAGTGGCTTTCTGGTGTTTTTAATGATCTCAAGAGATGCATACTTAACAAACTCAAAAACTCTAGCAATACTGGTTGTTTACATCTCTGCATGACTTGTGTATGTTACAAAGCACTATAGGAACTGTGGATGTTATATTTATCATGGTTTATTATAAAAAGCATACAACTGCTTGCTGTATTGAAAATTAAGAAATTTTAAAGAGAACTTAATTTTAGCCAAAAAAAAATTCCATTCTTGTAGGAAAGTTTGGGTATGATTACTTGTTGAACTTAATGATAAGCAGTAGCGATAGCAATTTCTTGTAAACAATGTTTGTGGGCGATTCCTTAACTCTGTCACTGGGAAGGTTGTACAGGAGTATACCATAAGTTGGTTTGTCCATGATATTGTATTTGTACTATGTGTAGTGGCTGTACCTAGTGCTCAATTATATGTGGAACCAATTTAATGCCTTCTTCAACCAGGATACTTGCAAAATATTTTAATGCCACTAAAAGTGATTTTGAACTAGCATTTACAAGTATGTTAAAAGGGTATAAGTTTGAGTGTTAACTTTAATACAAGGTGTTATAAGTGGCACAGTTTTTTTGTATTTTATATTGCAGTTGTTAAAGGGGGAGAAGGCAAGTAAAACTGTTCATTTTTTTCTTGTTCTGGGGTTTAAAGCCTATAATATTTTTTCACTTTATTCTACTCATGGCAACAGAAATTTGTGCCAAGTGAAATAAGTATGGAAATTTTTTCAAACGTTGTTAGGTTAAAGATTTTTGAAGAGCACATTTTCAGTGGTTATTATTATTATTGGACGAGGAACCCACCATTGTGTAAGGAACAGCCTCTCCTCTAGGTGTTTTTATTTTTACTTACTAGTTACTATTTAAAAATCATTCATTTGTTACATACTAGTTAATTGATTTAATGTATGCATCTTTTTTTTTTTTTTTTTTAACTAAGTAACCTTTATTTATTTGAAGGATTGTTTTTAACATTTTTTTGTTCAGTATATTAAATTTGTTAGTGTTTGGTCCAAAAACTGTTGACGTTTTTTACTATTACCAGTTTTTATGAGTTGTGCTGTATTGTTAAGAAGTGGGAAATTGTAGTTTTTTCATTAATGTTGCTCATAACATATCTGATGTAGTGAAGTTGACTTGAAGGCTTGAGCATCTGTTTTAGTAGCAGACTGACCTTTGTTAGCTGTTCTCCACTATGCAATGTTTGGAATTCTTAACTTTCCAGTATCATTAAAGGAAAATAAATAAATAAGCTAATAAATGTATTTTGTCATGGTGGTTTTTTGATAATCTTGTTGGAAATGAGATCTGTTACTTTAAGTATTGCCCACTATTTTTATGCTAAAATTAGCATCATGTAAATTTTTTTTATCAATATTAGACATTGTATGAGGCATACCTAACCACATAAAAACATCATGGTGGTTATTGATTTTTATTTTTAGTAGTGTTGGTAAAACTGCAAAAGTTCATTGGTAGGTTAGCTGATTTGTATCCAGTAGTGTATGTATATACAAACAAAATAATACAGTTTAATAGTAAGTAACAATTGATAAGTTTATACACATTCCATTTTCAATGCATATCTTGACACCCAGTATTTGTGAAGCGTAAGTATGTCCTTGCATTACTAGATGTAGTTCAGTGTTATGCTTAGTAGTATTAAAATTTTCTAAAAATATATACATAACCAGTGTTTTGGAATAGCCCTTATTTTTTGAAACTGTCATCTCTTCTAGGGGGGGGGGGGGGTAATTTTGGCTTCCATTACAACTCCAATATATTAATAATAATAATAATAATAACATGCCAGATAAAGGTGCTTGCCTTAACGTGTACTCAAACAAGCCTTCCTCTGGTGCTGTTCCCGTCATTTCCTGCTGTTGTATCATTAACTATCTAAGTTTAAAAAAAAAAAAAGAAAAAAAATTGAACGTTTTTATTGTTGATGCTCGGGTAGAACATGGTGTTATCAAATACCTTTTATAAGATTGTCCATTTTAAGTCAGAGGTGGGGTAATCTGGGCAAGTAATTAAAATTAAAGATTAAACTGTTAATATAGATACATGTTGTGTATTTCTCTTCCCCCCCGCTCCAAGTAGTAGAAATTCGATTTGAACAATTATAATCGTAAGATTTTTAATCAGCCAGAATACGAATTTGTCTATAACAATTAAGATATGCAAGTTGGACTTCTTTGGTGAAAATCGTCGTTTATGGAGTTGTCCAAATGTATTTCAGGAAAATACGGTGGAAAACCGTTGATTATTCAAAAAGGTAATGACGGAATACTACGGAAAGTAGTTTATGTACTTAAAATGTTAACTATTTCAGAAATATAAAAGTATTACGAAACTGTTTGGAAGACAGGTTCTACGTTGAGCATCGTAGGTTAACGAAATGTGTAAAAGCTAATGTTTGCTAGCCGCCCATGATCTCTGTTATAAACGCTAGTTTTGTGTAAATGTATAGACAGGTAATGCAGGGGAGGGGGTTGCAATGTTTTAATAAGGTCACTGTTGTCTGGATTTCGTACTGTTGTATTGTGACGAGTCATTTTTTATTAGTTTCTTTTTAATAGTTAATTTATAACAAACATTTCTGGTGAAGTAAACGTTTTATTGTCTTTCATATGTTTGTTACTTGACTGTACAACTACCGCATCAATAAAGTATTTTTGTTTCCTGCACATTGTTTTGAAATAATTTATTTACATTGAGATTAACAAAAAATAATCGCTGTAAAAATAAAGGACTTGTTTTAGTGTTAGTTAATTCACAAAATTATAAGAAGTTTGAATAAAAAATGTATACTAGTGACAGTCTCTCGCAGTCGAAGATGATAGTCTTATATGATGATGTTACCTGTGGGTCCAAAGATGGTACCGACGAGGCCTTTCAATTAACACTAGGGCTCATCAAGCGGACAGACATAGTAGTGGTTGAGACACTATTAACAACTAATGGCGTGAACTAAATTAAGTCCCCGAAGTGTAATTATTAACAGTTTTAGAATCGTAATTATAACAAGCTAATCTAATAGTAAATACTGACTTATCTTGTATCACGTTAACTTTGTTTCGGAAATGTGTAATATGTGATGAACATTCATTATCAGTGTTTTCCCTTGACGTGGTGGTATTCCTCCAAAGATACTGTGGGATAACACGGAAGACTTTATCGGCACAAACAATAACTTTTAAAAAGTCAGACTATTCAAATTGACCAAATTTGTGTTCTGTGTATTAAAATGAGGAATTAAAAAGTTATAAAATGTGTAATAAAACCATCCATCTTAATGAATAATACGTGCATAAAAACGGCCGTATTACGGGTAGTGAGTTAGCTCTGAATGGCGATCAATAGGGGGCGCGAGTTTGCATCTTTGAAAGCAAGAATAGATTATAAAATTTGTTGACGAGAAGCGCAGACTTTACCTCTCTCGCAGGGCATTAACGATCAGTACGGCCCTGCAGAAAAAGCCGCATAGCTAGTTTCTTGTGGGCGTAAGAATTGAGTTCGTCCCATCCTTCCGTGGTCAGTATGTTGAACTGAGGGTCCAACGTTCGCGCCATAATGCCACACACAAAAACGCAACGAAAAAATATCAACACGTCCCGCAACAGTGACGGTCACGTCTTACTATTCGATTAGAGTAACCTACAAACTGTCTTCCCTTTAGCCTATCAGTTCTAAGTTAGGAACGGCTATCAGCGAGAGCACCTGTGTAGCTTTGCGCGAATACCCACCAAGGTGTAGTTCATTAAATCCTGTAGCCTACATTATAAAATCCTAAGCCTTGTTAGACGACTGCATACCTAAACATTTCAAAGAAAACTTTCTGTTCACTAATTGTATTCAGGTAATAAAAAATGGCAAGTTTAAAAGCTTTTATTTCTAAACTAGAAATAGTTTTGAATACAACACGACAATAATATTATCGACAGAGGACAAATTACATGATCTGAAACTATAATGAGTTATTTATAGCATTTAAACTTGAAACGTTCAGTAGTCAATACAGAGAAAGTACTTAAATAGTTAAGTTTAATCTTAATTGAAAGAAAGTTATCCAAATGACTTAAATGTGTGTTCGTTGCCCATATTTATAGCTTAATGATTATATTTTTCTCTTTCATTGTCAGGTTACGTTCGAATACACAATGAAATATGTCATTACTTATCTAAAACTTGATACTTTATGTATGGGGAGTCTGAAGGGGAATTCTCTTTCTTCATGTTGGTACAAAACTCCATATTCGGATAGTAGTAGTATCAGGAGGGGACAAACACGTGTCTATGGCAGAGAAAGAGTTGAGTGTATTAGGTGGTAATTATAGGAATGTTTCTCTGCCTATCAATACTTTTTATCAGCACACTATTTTTAACTTTCATATTAAAACTGCTGTCGGTATTTAATTACCCGTTAAATAAATCATATTTAACATCTTCCAATATGGATATTATAGTTTAACTCGGTTACTTATGTGCTTCCTCGACTAACGTTAAATTTCAACGAAGAGGAAACATTTAAAATTACTGTTACGACAGCGGAAGTCACGTGACCCTGGTAACACGTGATGAGTTTCTAGAAGATTCATGAAGAAACGAGATGTACGCTTTTTGTATATATAAGACCGGTAAGAAGTGACGGCAACAATGGAATTGAATTGCAGACAGAGATTGAGACGGACAATTGAGTTAAGCGCGTTAATCGTTCGTTGTGAATTATAG